CAGCAAGTAGTACTTTTACGGCAACAGGGCAGAAAAAAGATGTATCTAAATGACAATTATGGAACCATTATCATGTCATGCAAAGGCGCAAAGGCCTCTGCTCAAGCAAATTCGCAGATGCAGGCAAAAGAGAGACATTACCCCACTCCCGGGTCACTTGATTGTTCGAGTTACTTGAGCTTGATAGGGCTTGTAGTTGATGTTCAAGACAACTCAAAGAGCAAAATGCATAACCTATCGGAGCCTTAGCTCGAGTAGCTCAACAAGATCATGTTCAGGTACAATGTAAATAGGGTCGAAAGCACTATAGGAGAGCCTTGGGTTCATTTGATGATTTTATTTGGGGTTAATGTTTGCTGTCCATGCCTATTGATATGCCTTTTCATATCAAATCACACAATTTACAAACTTTAAATAAGTACAGCTCATTGTAAGAAAGAAATCACCTTATTATCACCCCAACCCCCAATACCCCCATACCAGAGCTTTTCAGAAACAATATTACAAGAAGCCTAACAGGAGGCAGGGATTTCAATCTCAGTTAATTACAATTCCTCAAATTATACTCAAGAAAATGAACTGAATCAGGATATTGAGATAAGGGACAGATGCATACCAATGTTCGAAGAGAGGGGGAAGCAGAAGGGTAATATTGAGGGAGCAGGGATCTGACTGTGGAAACTGCTTCCTCGAAAGATTGCTTCTTCCCTAACTGTTTCTGCAATTCTTGGAGTTTCTGCTTGATATCATCCTCTGTGCGCTCCATTCTCGTGTAGTATGAATTCGAGATGCCAATGAATCGAGATGAAGAAATTGTTGTACAGCCTCAAAGAGGAATTGAGAACTTCAAATAAAATCTTTTTCTTGCCGATAAAGAAACGAGTTTTAATCCAAAATGGTCCTGCGGTCTTGCCACAAGCGAAATATCTAGGTGAGGCTCGTTTTCTTTAGCACACATTTTCTTGGTTTCCTTGGGGGTGAAGAAACGAGGGACGTTTTTAATTTAGATCTGGTAGGTACTCCCTCCGTTCTTAAATGTTTGTCACACTTTGACTTCACAAGTTTTAAGGAGATGAATTTGATTTTACACTGTAGCGATACTGTTTCACACTGTAACGGCACTGTTTGGCATTGTTTTGCACTGTTTGACACTGTTTGGTGTAGATTTGTTTACCAAATAAGGAAGTTGAAAAAGTATGACAAACATTTTGGAACATCCGTTTCGGGAAAGTGTGACAAACATTTAGGGACGGAGGGAGTATGATAAACGTCTGATCTTTGTGTATTTTATAATTACGGAGATCTGATCAGTTTAAGTCCGATTTGGTCCATTTAAGTCTGGTATGGGACTGAAAACAGTACAAGTAAAAACATTCTAAATCAAAATGTCAGATGTGTTAGATTGTTTTTACTCGGATGGAAATTTGTTGGTCTCGTCTCTAGAGACATCACATTCTTTTTTTAGTGTTTGTGAGTTGGATACATACTCGTTCCTTGTTTGGAGTTCAATCAAGCAAAAATTATCATTCTAGATTTTTTTGAAAGAATAAATTCCAATTTATTAATAATAAAAATGATCAATAAAAAAACAATTTGAATTGCTTAAAGTTATAATGAGATGAAACATATAATTGAAAAGTTCTAAAAGAACATAACAATCTGCTAACCCACAAATGTAGACTCATCTATCGATATATAAGCTCGTGCTAACTAATAATCAAGACTAGTAAAATGATTTAAACCACTATGCGATAAAAAACAAACATAAAAATCGGTTTCACCATTCACCGCTAAGAAAATAATAAGGAGTAGAAAATTTGATTTGTCCACTCACCATAAAGAAACAACTAGAATCATCAGTTTGACCAGTTATTTAGAGAATATTCATGGGTTCAACTAGAATCATCAGTTTGACCACGAATCCTCACAGTTATTGTTTTTAGAGAATAAGTGTGCGTTTTATTCCTATTTAGGATGTTTTTACTTGGACTGTAATTCCTCCCAGACCAGACCAGACCAGACCAGACCAGATCAGACCAGACCAGACCAGACTTAGATAGTTATAAAAATACAAAGAAACCAGACCAGACCAGATCAGACCAGATCAGACCAGACCAGACCAGACAAGACCAGCAAATTACGGTCCAAGTAAAAACATCCTTAGAGCAATTATTTTTACCATTAGGCATTTCCAAATTGAATCTAAAACATGAGAGGATTCGTGGGTTTCAAAATGTAGGTTGCTCGGCTTGGAACTATTTTTGTAAGTAGTATTATAGTAGTAGTATTATAAAACAAAAACAATCTGATAAGTACGAGTAATAATCTGAATGAGGATAGTAATAAAACAAAAACATTAATACACCAATGCTACATTTTAGGAGGAAAAAACTATTTTTATACACTGTGTACACATCATTTTACATACGTTTATGAGCAAATATTTTTTTGTTGTGAATAGTTTGTCCATAGACACGGTATGGTTTGTCTAAGGGCACACTATTCACAAGCAAAAAGTAATTACTTGTAAATACGTGTAAAATGACGTGTACAAAGTGAGCGTAAAAAAATTAAGAAAACTGTCAAATAAGTTTTTGTACTTTTTATAAAAAATTCAATTAAGTACTCGTACTTTTGCGCGATTAATCAAGTCCTCAAAGTGTAAAAAATAGACAATTTAGCTATTTCGCAGGTTACTGTCTAGTTTTCCGGTTCACGGGCCTACGTGGACGCCCAGCTGACATTTTTTACTGTTTTGCATTTTCTCTATATTTTTTCTTTTTCTCTTCCTCCTCGTATCTTTCTTTCTTCCTTTCTTTTCTTTTCTCTGGGCCGCCACCTCCACTAGGTGACCTCCGCCCAGGGACGGAGCCAGACTATAATATCAGTAGTGTCAAATTAAATATCAGTAGTGTCAAAATAAATTTTAAAGCGATTCTTCTAGTATTTTAACTAATAAGCACGACTTTTTATAATTTTATGAGAATTACTTACCATATTACTTATCAGTTTCTCGTGTTCACATTACTCAATAATTAAATATTGGCTTCATTTTGTAGTATTCATATATCGACTAGAGTTTTTTCCTAAATGAATGCTAATTAAATAAATATAAATATTTACCAAAATAAGGTTGAGTTAATAATAATTAACTCAAAGTGTATAGGTGATCTCAACATACACGTACCAAGGAGTAAGCCACAAACTTATCAAACAAGATGAGCCCATCACAATTATAAAATCCATTTTTTCTTTAGATAGCTATAACTTTTTCATTTTTGTTCTATTTTGTATAAAAAATATATCACAATTTCTAATTTTTTATGAGTTTTCATTTAACACAAATATTGCATATGTAATTTTAAAAAAAAAATTAAGAGCATATGGAGCCCGTTTGGGGAATCTTTTTTCGACTTATCAATCAACATTTTCACCAAACACGAAACTTTTGATTTTATGTGAAGCCCATTTCTTTTTTGATTACGGAAAAAAGAGTCCCCAAACAGGCTCCATATGCTCTTCAATTTGTTTTTTAAATTACATATGCAATATTGGTGTCAAATGAAAACTCATAAAAAATTAGGAATTGTGATATATTTTTTATACAAAATAGAGCAAAAATAAAAAAGTTATATCTATTTAAATAAAAAATGAATTTACTAATTTTGAGGGACCCGTCTTGATTGCTACTTTTGTGTCTTACTCCTTGGTACGTTAGATCTCTAATAATCAATTTTAGTGGAGCTTTGTTTTAACCCAACTTTATTTTGGTAAATATTTATTTAATTAGCATTTATAGGAAAAATATATAGAGTATTATATATCTACAAACCTTTGAAATCACTAAGTAGTACTACACTACTACGTATATCTACAAACCTTTGAAAATGATTTTAATTTTATTGATTTTTGTTTCAATCAAACTCGAAAAAAAACTATTAGATAGATACAATAGATGTTGGGAAATATGTGGTGTCAATGTGTCATTCTTTAAGATTTCAAATTTACATTTTTATATACATGTACACATAATTTGTTCAGTGGTGTTAATTGACACCACATCGCAATGCCTAGCGACGCCCCTACCTTCGGGAGGGCGACCTCCATAGCCACCATCTCCGTGCCATCCACCTTTGTTGGCCGTGTTTCTTTAAACACCACCACCGTGATTTACATCTCCTCCTCCATCTTAGCAACGAGTGATTCAGATTTCACTCTTAACATGAGAAATCTGAATAACATGGATCTAAATATAATATAGTAATTTCTTATTGAAGGAATCTATTAAATTTGTTCACACTAATGGTAGAAATCGGAGAATACTCTTTTTTGTATTGTCTACCCCTTTGGAAAATTTTTACTTAAGAAATTATACTATGTTATAAATTTGTTAGCACCAATAGTTGAAATAGTAGAATATTATGTATTGTCTATCCTAATGGAATTTGTTAACCCTTCAAAGAATTACAAATTCATCAAATCAAACCAAATTTAAACTGACTAAATCAAATTAGACCAATTCAAATAAAAAAGTAAAAGGTGGCTTTCTGATATCTATTTTAAAAGGGAAAATTTCCACTATAAGAGTAAAATAGTTTGAAAATTTTCAAAACAGGACTTTCCTAAAAAAATAACGTTTTAGTTATTTAGGGTAATTTCTCCTTCAAAACGCTGCAGTAAGTTGCGATTCTTTGTCTTACAAGCGGCATCACGACGCAGGTGTCTATGCCCTTCGTCGACGGAAAGAGCACAAGCTAAAGTGACGTCCGTGAGTCCAATTTTGTTCACCCCTTCTTAGAGGTGAACATCACCCCTCCCTTACACACTTGCCATTTGACATTAGTATCTTCAATTATATTTTAAAAATATTGATATATATTTTTAAAAAAAATCATATATAGTTAAAAATATTGATATATTTTTTAAAAAAATTGAACAAAAAATGAAAAAGGCTGGGGTGATGTCAGCCAACAGGGCACTTTTCACCCTCTTTTGTGCAGGGGTGAGCAAAATTGTTCGTCCGCGAAGCTTCAAGGCCGTCTCTGTTGAACAAATGACTGTGGAATGGGAGCGTTTGAAATGCTCAGAAAATGGAGAGCGCCCATGGAGAGCTCTCGAATTCTACAGTGGTATAGGCGGAATGAGATATTCACTTGATGAAGCTGCCGTGAATGCTGTCGTAGTGGAAGCATTCGACATCAACGACGTCGCAAATGATGTTTATGAGCATAATTTCGGCCACAGACCTCGTCAGGTAATTTTAAATTGTCGACGATCAAAATTTATATAATTCACAAAATTAGAAACAGTATAGCTTCTAACCAGCAGGGGGAATGGGATTAAAGTTCTAGTTTTTTACATTAGGAAGAAAAAACTTTTAGGTGGTGCAACTGTGCAAGTAGTGCACAACAGATTCTTTGGGCTTAATATGTGATTCTTTCAGTGGGTGTAAAAAAATTGGTTTTTTCTAGGGTAACATTCAGACTTTGAGTGCTGCTGATCTTGATGGCTACCAGGCAGATGCATGGCTTCTTTCTCCTCCTTGTCAACCATACACTCGACAAGGTCATTAAAGGCATTTCGTATTTTGTATTTCTCTGTTTTCTGTTTATATCTGGTGACTGAGAAGTGAAAAGTGCCCTGTTGGCTGGTATGTTTCCTCAAATTCCATGTCCAGGCCTCCAGAAAGGTTCCAAGGATGCACGTGCAGCCTCTTTTCTTAAAATTCTGGAACTTATACCTGATGTAGAAATGCCTCCACTTTTCCTTTTTGTGGAGAATGTAGTAGGATTTGAGGTCGGTATATTACTGTACTATGTGTAACGTCCTGACTATTAATATCTATGTTGCGGCAACAACATCTTTGTCTAATTGCCTTTTCCTCCTCATGTTTTCATTGCAGAAATCGGATACACATGATAAAATGATGGAAATCTTGGAGAAAAATCAGTTTGTCACACAGGAATTTATCTTGAGCCCTTTGCAGTTTGGTCTTCCATATTCCAGGCCACGATATTACTGCTTGGTAATTTCCATTCCTTTTCTCCCTTTTTGTATAAAGTATTCGTCGTGAGTTAGTACACATCATGACATCAAAGAAGTGTGTAAACTGGAACATGCGATTATAGTCACATGTTCCAACTATGGAGGAGAAAAGCTCATAGTCACTTAGCATAACATTTTAATAAAGAATTATATTCTGAGCTGTATCTGGACTGTGGAGGTTTCTTCATATCTTCCCCTTTCCAGTCGCCAATGGCGAGAAATCGCAATTTCCATTTGCGCCATCGACTACTATGGCAAAAAGTCCTTTGTTCCTAGTTGCCTAGTCAAAATTATGACTTGTTTGATTAATCTTTGACTTAGTTTTGCTGGTATTTTAGATAAGGAAAATATTATTAAAAAAAGAATGGAAGGAAGTCCTCAAACAATAGCAAAAATGAACCGATCAACAAACTACAGTAATGACACATGTGTGCCTTCTAGTCCTTTGATCTTAGTTGCCTAGTATCAGTTGTAAAAAGAGAATCGTAGTTTTAACATGGCAAATTCTAATCCTAGTTCAATGACACATATGTGCTTTCACACTCTAAGGTATAACCTAAGTACTAGCATTATGAACAATGCTAGTATTAATTCATAATGCTAGAATAATATCATTGTGCTTCCTTTACACACCTTGAGGTCTTTGCCTTTCAGGTTCATCCTTGTCTTTCTGTTGTTCTATCATTGTGCTTCCTTTACACACCTTGAGGGCCTTTGCCCTTCGGGTTCATCCTTGTCTTTCTGCTGTTGGCCGATTAAGTTCTTTACACATATGTGCTTTCACTTTTCCATCATTTGCAATGAAGCCAAAGATTCATTATTTTTTGGCTTGAGATTATGATGGAATAAAGCAAAATGGCTCACTAAACTGTCTGCGCTTCTTTGTTATGAAGCAGCTGTCAGTCCATGCAATTTTGGACGGGATTTTCACTATGGGTCATCCGGAAACAGTCTCTCTGTGCTTTAGTACAGGGGTAAGACTGCGTACATCCGACCCCACCGTAGGTGGGAGCCTTTGCGGCACTGGGGTAAATGAAAATGAAATGAACACATATGTGCTTTCACACTCTAAGGTATAACCTAAGTACTAGCATTTTGAACAACGCTAGTATTAATTCATAATGCTGGAATAATATCATTGTGCTTCCTTTACACACCTTGAGGGTCTTTGCCTTTCGGGTTCATCCTTGTCTTTCTGTTGTTCTATCATTGTGCTTCCTTTACACACCTTGAGGGTCTTTGCCCTTCGGGTTCATCCTTGAATTTTTTTTGTTACTTTTTTATATTAATGTGGGGCCTCGATTTTACTTTTGAAACCGGGGCCTCCGAATTCATTAGACGGCCCTGCTTTCCAGCAATCTTCATTCAACTCTACTCTCTTCTACTAATCAACTAGTGGTTTATTCGACCAGTAGCTTTAGACCTCGAGCAGCCTTTCCTTCGATATTCAAAATGTTGAGAAACTCCAACCTCTTCTTCTCCTTTCGTTTCTATTTAACTTGAATTACAGCTCTAGTAGCCCTACTATAAATACTCAAACAGTGTCAGCTACTTCACTTCCTCCATTTATTTTATTCAAACACTGCTCTAACTTAGTTTGAAGCATTGAAATATAAATGGTTACGAACTCCTAAAACAGTTTCTTGCTGTTGTACCCGTAGTCGAGGGACTGAAGGGCACTGCTTCAGCTAGTAGAGATGGACAAAATAGGAAAAATGATGTTTATCTATTTACTATCCTCCGTTCGTTTTTAGTTGCAACACTTGCCTTTTTTGGCAGTTTCAAATTAGTTGCAACATTTCTCTTTAAGGCAATAAATGATACATATATGGACATTAATACCCTTACTCCCAATCCTGCTTCCGATTTAATATGGCGTCATCTCTTTTGAATTACATCTTGTCCACCCATTTATCTCTCTTATGCATCTTCAATTCATTTTCTTCTCTTTCTTTCTTTCTTTTCATGTTTACAACATATACCATGGATTTGTTACAAGTTTTTCCCAATCGATTCTACTTATGTTTTCCTCTCAATAGAACATGACTTCTACGTTTTCTCCTCTTCGCTTTGTTGCTTCGGCGGCAAAGTTCGGCCAGTTTGAAATTTATGAAGGAGATTCGAAGAGCAAAAGGTAGGTAAATCGGCTTCCTCTTGTGACTGCCTTTCAAGATTGACTGAAAGGAAGAAGTAAATCCAAAAATTGCTCTTCATGTAATCGCAAGAAAAGAAGCTGGAGCCTGGAAGTGTGGAAGGTCATTTATCAATGAGGAGAATTGGAAGTGAAAGAAATCACAAATCTGTATGATTGTTGAAGCTTTGTCGCAGATGGGAAGTCTGTAAAAGGAGAAAACGGAGGTGCTGGTTCAAGGTCTTGGTGTTGTACAGGGGCAAAAGTGGAAAATAATTTCTTTCACTGTATTCCTTAATCTGTGTGCCCAACCTCTATGTTGCAACTACTTCCAAACGGAGGGTGTATTTAAATGAGTAACAGAACTCTTTACCTTGAAATGAGTAACCTTGTTTATCTATTTATTTAAATGATTGGAGCCAGTTTAACGTCAATACTTGAACTTAAACTGTTCAGGAGGTCTAAAGAGTAACTGATGAACTAAAGGCTGCGCACTATAAAATGGAGTAAAACAGTGTCGCGGGCTTGCGTCTAGACCTCTAAGGCTCTAATATATTTTTCTTTGCCGTCACAAAATAGCATCTCTGTTTCTTTTGCAGGTATTTGCTTATATTTAAGGAGTAATAAATCAGCCCCACTAATCTTTTATTCGGGCCAACTCTAATTCTATCCTCTATTTTTAACTTCTCATTGCAAGTTGTAAGTCACTACAACCTCCCACCATAATCTTTTTCTTTAGTCACCCATCGCAGACCACATGTGGTATGAAAAACATACCTCAAACCACTTGTGACCTTTGGCAGCCTACTGCCTACCCCAGGCCATTTGCGAGTTACAACAGTTTACTTTTGAGTTAGTAATGAGGATATTGAGGTTGATGGTCACTGTATTAAAAAAGGCAGCTTCTCAAGATATCATAACATTCTTTATATGCTCAAATGTTCAGCTTGCAGCCTTACCAAATCTCTAATGAACCTAGAGTTTTGAATTCATTTGGGGTGAGCCGGTACCAAGATTTTTTTTTCAGATAAATTTGTACTCATAAATTTTCACACTAAAAAACAAAAAAAATCAAATTTGGGGTTAGCTTGGATCCGGTTGCCCTCCGCCCCTGGTGACAGTTGTGTAATGGAAAGATACAGCTGACACAATTTCCCTCGTTCTAATAGGCACAGTACATGTCTATTTAATAGGGATTTTAAGCTCATTTTAATAAAAAGATATAATGATTTTTCTTTGGTAAGGAATTAGATGAGTTATATATGAAAGCATTTCATTGCAGGCAAAAAGGAAACCTTTAACCTTCAGAATTGCTAAACATGACAACCAGCTTCTCTGGAACCCTGGTGCTTTAGTTTCGCAGGATGAAAATACTATTGTCAAAGATGATCAGTCACAGGAGTACTGGGATGAAGTGCTTCAGCACTGTCAGCCCATAGAGAATTTTCTTGAGTGGAAAATTTCTGAAAAAGAATGTGAATCCAAGTCCCGTTTATTAACTGCTAATGATTCTGAAATGGAAAATAATGATGATGCAGATATTGATCATGGCAGTGGCTTTTCTAATCACTACTTTGTTCCATCAAACTTGGTGGACAGATGGGGAAATGCAATGGGTATCCTTTTTCATGATTCTGTTACATTTAATTTTTCTAATCACTTGCTTAGCCTATTTTTTGAATTTCAGATATTGTTTTCCCACATTCAAAACGTTGTTGCTGCTTTACGAAAAGCTATTATCGATATGTTAAGGGAACAGGTTCCCTTCTAGCAACAAACCAGGTGCAAAATAACCGCTTCCTTTTCTTGAATTTCTGCCATTAAATTTGTAGCTTTAATGAATATCATTAATTTTGTCCACTAAGCTAATTGATGATGAGATTTATCTTGCAAGTATGTAAGTATGTTAAATCCATATAATTATCATATTGCCCTGGTCATCTTGCAAAGAGTTGCTTGGGCTTTAGGAGTTTCATGTATCAATGATTTTTGTTGAACTCCTGAACTTTGGATTACGTTTCTTGATAACTCACATAATAGATTACAATGATAGGGTGCGCTGTATGAGTGTTTATATAAAGGCTTACGTATGTGTTTATATGAATACAGACATGTGTGTAATATATAGATACATGAGCCTGCTTTAGCATGGTGGTCGATCTAGGGTTGTTCTTGGGTAACTTGAATGTCCCTTGTAATACAACACAGCCCATATTGGCTTGGTTGTCTCGCAAAGAGTTGCTTAGACTTGGGTAGTTTCGGCTATGTATAGTCTTTGTTGAACTTCTGAAGTTTGGATTACGTTTCTTGATAACTCGCATAACAGATAACAATAAAAGGGTGCACTATATAAGTGATTAAGTGTATATATAGAGACCTATGTATGTGTTTACATAGATACACCATGTGTGTAATACACAGATACAGGGGCCTTCTTTAACGTGATGGTTGATCTAGTGCTGTTCTACGTAACTTACGGTTCCAAGGAATAAAACACATATCTAATGTGGTAGACAAAAATAAAGAATGAAGGTAGGATCTTGATGGGCATTGAGCATCAAGAATAGGAAGAAAATCAACCAACATGATTTATGCGGATCTAAATAAGCCAGGATAGACAAAGCTTGACTACTTTAAGTTTTCCCAGTTGTGCATTATCTTAATTATTGTTGTATTAATATTTTAAATAATTACTTTTCAAGGAGATCTAGAGGAAAGTCTCAAATTATACTCCATAATAATAGCTTAGCTATTCAGCATCTTACTTAGCATTGGCCTGTGGGCTAGGCAGTCTCATGCTGGGGAAGGTTATAGCTTCATGGAAACTCGTTTTTTCTTTTCATTATTACAATTTATTATTCCAAGTTATGGATCCATCATTTGCAATGGAGCCAAAGATTCATTATTTTTTGGCTTGAGATTATGATGGAATAAAGCAAAATGGCTCACTAAACTGTCTGCGCTTCTTTGTTATGAAGCAGCAGTCAGTCCATGCAATTTTGGACGGGATTTTCACTATGGGTCATTCAGAAACAGTCTCTCTGTGCTTTAATACAGGGGTAAGACTGCGTACATCCGACCCCCCCTTACCCCACCGTAGGTGGGAGCCTTTGCGGCACTGGGGTAAATGAAAATGAAAAATGAAATGGAGTTTCTTATGTAGTTTCTTTAAAACACCCATTGTGAACTCCAAACCCTGACCACTACTTGTTTTTTATTTGGTTGGGTCTTTTTAGCAATTCAGCATTCTTCTCCGCCTAGGCTTCACAAATTTAGATCTCCTACTTAAGGAAGTATTTGGACTTAAAAACTTACAATTTTAGAATGCATGTAGAAAAATACATTTATGATCATTGGCAGTGCATTGTGATAGTTGAATAAGCTGCATGCTACTTAAGAAATAGGTTGTATCATTTTGTCTATCAATGTTTCATTTTGATTAAAAATAATACTAATCATATGAATAATTTCCGTGATGCAAATATACTCAGAGGCAATTATTTATTTATTAAATTATCTATCTGACACAGGGAAATACAAAAAACACGACTGCCAAGACATCATTGAAGGATTTATGCCTCAGATACTTCACCCCGAGGGAGGTATGTGCCTTGTAACAACAGATTGGTTTCCAGCTGCCATGTCCTAAATTGAAGACATGTCTTAGTTCTTTTGTTATTGTGAAGGTTGCAAACTTGCACTCTTTTCCATCGGATTTCACGTTTCCCCAACACATAAGCCTCAGACAGCGGTGTGTGTTTTTCTTTTCCTTTTCGCAGTAATGAAGGCAGATAAACACATGATCCTTTTGATTTTTTTATTTTATTTTGATTTGATTTTCATGCTTATGCATTGAGATTTGCTCATGTCCAGGTATGCCTTGTTTGGGAATAGTCTAAGCGTGGGAGTTGTTGCACCTTTGCTTAGGTATCTATTTACAGACCCTGCCTGCAACTCAATTCAAGACAAGGTCCATTAATGAAGGATTGAAGCCTTGAAGGTGCAATATCAAATGCAAATGTAGGGTGCCGAGATATAGAATGTGCGTTATCAGTGCATTATCTATTTGGATGGTTGTCTTTGATGAAGAGCTGATTATGTCCTTGGTTTACATATATGGTGTCCTTTTGTTGAAAAGTTGAAGTTGTCTAAATTGGCATCAATGTAGTAATAGTGGTAGACTGGTAGTTTGGGAAATTATTTTCTGTCGTCCGATTTAACTCCATCAGGATTGCAAGATGAAATAGTCAAATAGATCAGCTTGTAATTTAATATGCTCCAAATGAAGAAGACATTGCTTACCAAGGACAACCTACTATTTCTTTTGATGTGTGTAGCACAAGTTGAGATTATTTTCCTTGTTAAAGATTTCCGAAGTTAATACGGAGTATAACAATTAAAAAGAAACAGTTATTTGATCACATGACATGTATATATAGGAGGTGGAGACCCCCACCCACACCCACCTCTTCGCAGTTCGCACTAGCTCTGCAACAATTCCATATTTCCATAGGTTTGAACATTACACGTTCCTTCATACATGATCTTTCTTTTACACTTGGTTGTTAATAGGGATGGATTCGGGCCGGGCCTAGGCCCGATCGGGCCGCCGGTTCGTATCACATGGGCCCGGGACCGGCCCGAGGGTTGGACGGGTCAGGTTCGGGCCGGGCCACCTGCCCGGGTCACGGGTCGGGCCATCCGCCGGGCCGGGCCGGTTAAATTTTTTTTTTAATTTATATTTTATACTTTATAGTTTTATACAAGTATTAAAAAACAAACTTCAAGTGCATTTATTTGAAATGAAATAGGAACAACATTTGAAAATTAAATAGGAACTATAATTGTTTTTAATCGGAATCTCCGGCATAGGTAGAGGCGTAGAGCCACCCTCTGTTGTAGATTCATCCATAAAGTGTTGGGATAGAGTGATGTCAATTTCTTGAGCTCTACGGGCTGCTTTCAACCAATCGTGGTAGCATATAAGCATCTCAAGAGATTCAACGCTCAACCTCGTTCTGGTTTGTGTTAGAACATTGTTGGCCGAACTAAATTCTTGTTCCACGGCAACTGTTGAAATCGGCATTGATAGCACTTTCTTAGCCATCTTTGCTAAAACCGGGAACATTCTTTGTTTTCCCTTCCACCAGTTTAGTACGTCAAAATCATCATCTTCTTCAAAATCAACATCATAAGTTAAATACAAAGAAATCTCATTAATTGTGCTTTGTTGTGTAGCGGGACGGGAGTTGATTTCATTTTTTTAATAAGATTGGCAAACGTAGATTTGAAAATTGATTTTCCTTTAGATGATGTTTGTGTCGGGGGAGGGGGCGCATTGCCATATTGTGCATGAAACTCATTGAATAATGCATAAAATATATCACTAACCTCGTTGTATTCTTTTTTCGGATCAATTGGGTTGTCCTCATACATTGGCAATAGACCAAAAAAAGCAGCATAATAATAATTCAAACATTCTTCTAAAGAACCAAGTCTAAAACGAGGATCGAGAACAAATGCAATACAATAAATATGCGGAATATGTGAATAATATTTTAAAAACTTTTCCTTCATAAAACCAGCAAAATAACTCACATAATCAGCATTCTCAAAATTTGAAAAAGCGCCGACGAGATTAACAGTTTCACGAATAAATAGGTTTGAGGTAGGTTTATAAACATTACTAAAAGTTTCAGTTGCATTATTACAATATATCAAAGCATTACAAATTTTTTCACAGATGTCGATATCAACCGAGTTTATAATATAGTTATCATATTGTTTCATAAAAGCAGGAAAATGTTGTTTATATCTAAGAAGAACTCCAATTAACTTATATGTACTATTCCAACGAATAGACAAATCTTTTGGAAAAGCCACATATCTCTCACCTCTTTCTATCAAATAATCATGCCATTTTTTCCTAAGTTGTCCATTACCCCAAATACGTCTAATCCCCCCTTGACTACCTCCAACGATGCTCCCAACGCTTTTAGACCATCTTGCACACATATATTTAGAACATGACATGCACATCGTTGATGAAAAAATCTACCCATCAAAGAAGTAGAACCACACAATTCACGCAATCTAGGAATAACAGCAGTATTATTAGTAACATTATCAAAACCAATAGCAAACACCTTATCAATTAAATTATACTCAATTAAAATACGTTCAATTAAAATATAAATATGTTAAGCGGTGTGATGATCATTAAATTCACGGAAAGCAAGAACACATTTATGCATATGCCAATCATTATCAATATAATGTACAGTCAGACCCAAATAATGTAAATTATGATAAGTATCCTCCCATATGTCAGAACATACAGTAACACGTCCATCAAAGTTTGCAAAATAATTTTGTAACCTTACCTTTTCTGCACCATAAAGCCTTGAAATTTCTTTCTTAACCGTTTTGCGACTATAACCTCTATATTGCGGATTTAAACAAGTTTGTGCATAATCACGAAAAGCAAGACTTTCAGAAAACAAATAAGGCAAATTTTCTTCAACAAGTAAGTTAGCCATACCTGTCAAATTTTGTGCATCATTGTATGAGAAATTACCAAAAGCTTGTTGGTTATTTGCAAACCTCGATATTTGCGTTTGCTTCCCCGTTCCGCCGCCTAATTTTGCATACTCCACCGGGTGTTTGGACTTAAGGTGTCTTGTGCCGGATCCGTATCCGTCGGAAATCCCCAAGCTATAGTTTTTCTTGCATCAATCGCAAGTTGCGGTCCAATTCCCGGTGTTCGGGTCCTTCCACTTAGAAAAATTATTAGCCATTAATTCAGATTTACTTTTTTTTGTACCTGTTTGGGATGAGGCTGGTTGGTCGACGTCATGGCTGACGCCATCCTCCTCCTCCTCCTCGTCGTAGCTCTCCGGAATTGCTTCCTCCACATCGTCGTCCTCGTCCTCGAGCTCTTCTTCGTCAATGGTCCTCGGTTGGTCTTGAAAAAAGCGAGAATTATGTCGGTGCAATTCTTGTTCTAGTTGTTCGTCGGTCATCGCATCCTCATCCCTCCTTACGTAACCCGTATCAAAATCATCTTGACTTTGAGATGAAGAGCCGATATGTGATTTACCTTTGCGGGATCTCTTCCTCGCAAGCTCTTTCGTTCGGTTGCGCTCGAGGTTACCCATATCAACCGAATATCTAGGACGATTCATCTAAAAAATGTAGCGATTAATAAAAAATTGTAAAAAACTAATTAACTATTTATGTAACTATTAAATCGAGTTATAGCAAATTAAGTAGTGAATTAACTAGTTTTGTGTACAACATATTTTTTAAACTAGAGTCAAATGTAGCAATTAATAAAAAAATTGTAAAAAACTAATTAACTATTTATCTAACTATTAATTCGAGTTATAGCAAATTAAGTAGTGAATTAACTAGTTTTGTGTACAACATATTTTTTAAACTAGAGTCAAATGTAGCAATTAATAAAAAATTGTAAAAAACTAATTAACTATTTATCTAACTATTAATTCGAGTTATAGCAAATTAAGTAGTGAATTAACTAGTTTTGTGTACAACATATTTTTTAAACTAGAGTCAAATGTAGCAATTAATAAAAAATTGTAAAAAACTAATTAACTATTTATCTAACTATTAAACAAGAGTCAAATGTAGCAAATTAACTAGTAATTAAACAAGTGTAAATAATAGAATAATTTCGTACCTCTTTCGGACTTTCGGTCTTTCGGATGGGAGTAATAGAATGACTTCAAATTAATTAGATATAATTCCAACTATATTAATAGATATAATAAATATATAAGTAATATATAATTAGATAACAAATATAAGTAATATAATACTATTTATATCTATTTATAGTTTATATAAGTAGATAATTAATATAAACTATAAATAATAAATATAATATATTGGAGAATGGAGAATAAGAGAATTAGAGAGTAGAGAGTTAAGAATAGGATTTAGGAAGAATTGGAGAAAAGATATGAAAAAATGTTTAAGATTAGGAGTATTTATAGGTTTTTTTACCCCCCCCACCACCCAACCCCCCCGGACCCCCCCTTTACCCCACCCAACGGCTATATAGCCGTTTGGGTTGTCCCCAGCCCCACCCCCAACGGCTAGTAGCCCACTAGCCAAGAGCCGAAGACCCAATTTTTTTTTTAAATTAAGATCGGACCCGGGCCCGGGCCGGGTCACATTAATCCAGCACCGAGCCCGCCCCACCCATTCCCACCGGTTCGGGTCCATACCCGGTCCCGGACCGCCCGACCGGGCTGGTCCTGGGCCCGCACAGTACCGGGCCGGGCTGGGTCACGGGCCGGGTGGTCCGAACCGAATCCAACCCTAGTTGTTAACACTGAAGTGCAAAAAGACATGTCGCTGTGACAGGTTTAATTTAATCTTCTTACTCGTGATTTGTGTATCAAGTTGGGGTGGTCTCTAAACCAGATTAATTTTCTGATTCTGGGATGTGATCTGTAGTATAGAAAACTGGTCCAACCCAGCTTTGGTTCTTCTGCGGGCCAGACTAGTTATGTTTTTTTTTTTAAATTGCAAGTAAACCAAAAGTCCAAAATCCTTGGTGATAAATAAAGGTGCAAATGTGCAATCATCTACTCATAAAACTTATTCATGTTTTTACATTTATGTCACACAGGCTCACATATTATGTGTTTATATATGTATATGTGCACATATTTTGAATCCATATTATATGTTTATATATGTATAGGTGCACATAATTTGAATCCATATTATGTGTTTATATATGTGTATGTACACATAATTTGAATCAAATGAGAATACGGTCTAATTAGAGAAATTCTATGAGTGAATTTGGAGCATTAAATTTGAAAAGTATGTATCATGTGAAATATAAATGTGTACTATTATAAATAAATAAAATGTGATAACATTTTTGTAAATAAAGTGAACTTTTTCTATCATTACAAACTTTAAATAATGGGCAATACTTTAGACTTATAGTGTTATGTGTTTATATTTTAGTATTGTCTTTTGGAATATGTTGACCTCTCCACACATTCTGGTACACCTTTTTATATAGTTTTTGTTTGAAAGAACAACTTTTTATATAGTTAGCCACTTAGTGTAGATATATTTGAACGTAGCCTTGTTATAATGGAACCACAAGTGCTACACAAATAAGAGTAAACCGAGTTTTGCCTAAACATTTGCCAAGTAGATTCAACTTTCGAGTGAAATTTTTGTTCATCAGTATAACTGACCGGTGACACTTAAATTCATACACTTAAACAAAAAAATTAAAGTTTTCCAAACACAATCCTTAGAAGTAATAGTGTAATACCATAAGAAAAAACTATTTTTACAAAAAAGGCATGTATAAGAAGCAGTGTTAGTTTTAATTCCACAGTAAGAAGCTAC